ATTTTACCATATTTTTCGTAGGCAGAAGAGATAAAGGTAAGGTGGCTTTTAGTTGCAGCTTGTCCAGTGCGAACTCGGAGATAGTACAGATTTGTATTAGTGAAAGAAATTCTTAAAATAAGTTTACATGAATAAAAATTTTCAAACAATGAATTTAAGATTTTTACAATACAAAACGTATTCTTAGTATAATAATAAATTAATATTTTATTGAAATAAATAAGTAAATATAAATTTTTAATATGTATTGGTAAAAATAGAATTTTTACAAATACATTAAGTTAAAATAGTTAATTCGAATAAGAAATAGATTTCATTTATGCCGAAACTATTTATTCACTAATATAGCTTAAGTGGCATGCACATTAAAATTTGCTAAATGACAAGATATAAAAGTAGGTTAAGTAGTATAAAATACCTATATATACATATACCTATATATACATATACCTATATATAAACTAACATGGGAGATATTAAAAAAAATATGAGGGGCCTTAAAATGATCATCACGCAAAAAAAACTATTGCATCAAAGTGGATGTGGTTTTCAGAAATACAACGTATTTCTGAAGATCAAATTTAAAATCTGATGTTTGTTTCATGTTAATATGCCGACTAGAAATGGCCTTTTTATGGGTTTTCATACTTCAGACATCCAAGCGTACGAAATAGCTAGAAAAATGCTAGTACATAATATAAACACAGTATAAAACTCTCTTATATGCCAAACAGTAGTTTATATAGTACACAAAGTTGCAAAATTTAAAAAGTAAACCCAAATAAAAAGATATGGAAATAAGTTACAAAACTTATTTCCGTACCTTGTAGTTGTTGCACAGTCCTGAGCAATATATTATCTGGATTTACCTATCCTACTATACATTGTACTTTCATTTTATATTACATTTTCAGTGACGGTCGTTCAGAGAGGTTTATGTTGACCGTTTCGCTCTGAAACATGTACAATATAGTTGTATCGTTATATTATTTTAAAAATAAAATTTAATATACCTTTTAATATAAACGAAACTAATAATAAACTGTTAGAGCTTTTCCGAATATATAATATCAGTTCATAAATTTTAAGTAAATTAAATTCAAATACCTTACAAATGTACCATTTTCGTATCATTGCATTTATTACACGGTATGATAATTATGATTATAATTCTTTTAAAATTTCTTCAATTATATTGATTTTTAACTATTCATGGCATTGTTATTGTCTTAAATTAGAAATTGTTTATTTTTAAAAATACTTATAATAAAAATAATACATACCTGCTTTTTTTTACAACACAGGGGGCAAAGTGACTACCGCCGCCATGGCACACCAACGGCATTGCAGAAACGGCTAATATTTCTATTAAATATATGTGATACATTATATCTCTAGAATGCTTCTAGAACACTTAATATTTTACATATATTGTGATCCATGTATAAATAAAGTATAAAATGTGATTTTCAACTAACTGCAAAAACAGGAAGAGTTTCTTAATGCAGTAGTATTTTTTATGTTTGCTATCATAACTCCATTGATTGTAAACCGAATTAGAAAATTCTTTCATATTGAAAAAGAATTTTGATTCCATAGAAATTTCATCAAAATTGATTCAGAAGTTTACTTTTTATATCAAAATAACTGATTTTATCACAATTGAAATCGATTTATTTGTGGAATATAATCTCAAATTATTACTTATATAAGTATTATGAACATTGTTTTCACCAAATCTGCACATTTTGTATAACGGATCGCAAATACATCATGTTTTATTATTTTTCCAATTGAATGAAAAAAATAACGACGACTAATAATTTATTTTGTCGATTAAAATTACGACCCTCTGTAATACGGTATTCTTCGTATCAAATTTCTATTGCGTGCTGGGAATCATAATGAGATGGTTGGTACAAAATCACGTCCAACAAATAAATACGCTAATGCAGTGTATCTGGTAATATAGCTGTATTACTAGATACACTCACACAACGTTGTCACTACATTGTTGTGGTTTGTTTCAGGAATTTACAAATTCATTGGAGGCGTTACCTTTCGTTGCAGCAAACTGCCTATTGTCTATTCATGAATTTGTAATTAGTGCAAGTAGTTCAACAAACAGTGTTGCACTGTAAATTTAGGATTGGTAATGTAGTACAATATAGGATTATTCCAAATAACGCAAATAAAAATTTTAGTAGGGTAGACTATATAGTATTGTATTATGACAAGTTTTTGAGATTTAAAAGCATAAATGTATACCTACATTATATATTACACATAATACAGTGCCAGCCAATTTGTTTACTATTTTGTTATTTTTTAATATTTCGAAACGGACTTAAATGTCATCTGCACAAAATATGTAATCTATTAGTGTGTAATTAAAAAACGTCATAAACAGTTCAACTTAGTTATCCTTTAGGAATAATTTAAATAAATTCTCTATGTCATAAGGTATTTCTAATATTTTTTGTGTTGGAAATTGCTGGAGTGTTATTTCGCAGAGAACTGAAAAGAGCTAACTGCTCGTTTAATAATGAAGTAATTTATAATCAAATAAAAGAAAATACCTAACCATACCTATTATATATTAAAATGAAGTAATTACACTACAACATTTTAATAATAAATCCTAAATATGTTAAGTTCTATATACTAGAATAGAACAAATTATGAGCGATTAAAGAAGATTAATTTAGACAGCTATAAATAGTTTTTATAATTGTTGTTTCTACAAATTATTTTACAACTGGAAAGAAGTCTTGAAATAAAGTTTTTGTTATTATTTTTATAATTTAACTTACTTGTATACGGAACTGTGGAAATATTTATATTTAACCAATTTTTATATTCGTATTTGTTCGTCATTCCATTGCATATGTTATCTGTAAGCGGTAATCTGTATAATCTGATATTTTACACAATCTGTGGTCATTGTAATACGTTATCTAGGTAAATATTTATAATATTTCATACGTTGTCTGTACGCCCCAGGCATTTTATACATTACCTAGGTATAATATCTATAATAATAGAATATCTGAATGTTATCGCCGTTAATATGTACATATTTTGTGGCACTATATTTTGTTACTATTTTATACGCTGGTAATACTTTAAATTTGTGTACAGGACTGTATAATAACTTTATTAATACACATGAAATTTATACATACACCTTAATGTTGTTTCATTGTTAAAATATGTTGTTTGTTATTAAAACAAAAAGAGAGTTAAATTATATCTATAAATTACCTTTGAAGCAAGTAGATTTTTCCTGTACCTATTCATTGGTTAGCTTGAATGAAGTAAAATCACCTTATTAAACCAGAATAAATGCCTCGCGGCGCAGAAAATTTATGAAGACAATAAACTCGACAATGCTACTTAAGAGTTTCAGTGCGCGTTACTTAAAAACGATTGGCAATGTTGAAACCTCATTCCAAACAATAAAGTTGGCGTTTGATATAAAAAAAAGTAAACTTAGTCGACAAAGATATTGAAATCCAAGATTAGTTGAGATGTTTTCGATGAGTAGAAAGATGCTGAGGGGGTGGTGGTGTCCGGATTGAATGGTGTCTGTGTAGAATGACAGTGACACAACATGGATATTTAACTAGATGTGGTGGTTATATTTTGCGTGACCTTATCTATCTTTGACCGTAAGTATTCTATCTTTGCTCAATTTATGTTCAGTATATATAGAAAAATGTATTTCGACTTTTGTTAGTCCTTTCAGATCCTTACAATCATAAATATATAATAATAATATTAAATACGTTATTCTCGAAATGATATGTTTGCTATTAAATTTAGATTGAACAGTCATTATTTGAAAAAAAAATACTCCCAAAGAAAAAGTCGAAAGAGGAAAAATGTTTTGAGAATCCCATACCAATAGGAAATGTTCAGCTATAAAAAGTAGGGTATTTTAAAAAGCTATTATTGATAGCAAAAGACTTCCTAAACGTATCGAAAATACTCTATTATTGTCAATCATTATAAACATTTTTCTATATAAAAAATAATGTAAGCATTCCAACTCTCGATGTACCTATTTACATAGATCTATGGGATTTATACATTATCGTCAAAGCTTATGTTTAAACAAGCATATATTTATTCCAAACCTGAATGTACACTAACTATAATCTTCATCGATCTATGGGATTTCTGTACTTACGTCGTCTATGTTCATCACATCTATGTCTATGGATAGGGAGGTGTCAGAGAGGCAGCATGTTGCGAGCCAGCGCGGGAGGGCGGTATCGATCGGGAGTGCTGCGCAACAAGTGCCGCCGTCGTTGCCGTCTCCTCGCTACACGGAACTCACGGTTGAAACGTTTGAAGAACAATATACTATCTGATACAAATGCACTTTGTTTTTTCTTTTTCCACCGGTGAAGAAAAGGAAATATTCCATATCCATTGAACGAAAAGCGACGATGCAAACGATGTTTAATTAAAAATTTTTATATTCTATTTAAATCTTTTTTAATATTGTTTTCTTTGTTCTTTGTTTTATTTCAACAATTTTAATCACTATATTCATAAATTAAGTGTTTCACTTGCAATATATTTCTTTATATAATTTAACCTGCACTACGACTTAAATTAGTGTTACCTAAATTGCTTTAAAATATCAGTAACATAGAATGAATAAAGTTACTTTAAATGTCTAAATAAACCAATCAAAGAAAGTCTTTACTAACATGATCCTCCAACTTCCTATCAAAAATCGAACCATCTTCACAAAAAAGCCTGGGTAAGCTTTCTTTTTTGTCAGTTAATGCCGGAGGTATTTGTGAAGAACTTTCCCTGAACTAGCGAAAAAAAAAAGATAAAACGGGATCGGACGGTTTGTGTGTTATTGTAGCAATTCTAGTCGATTTTTGTTCACTCTATATACGATGTCAGTATAAGTACAATAAACGTTTTATTTATTTTTCAAGGGGTTCTGATGCGAAATAACATCGGAAAAACACATCGGATACTATTCCTGTTTTCGGAAGTAAGTTTATTTAAATTCACAAATGTCTTACATCTGATACAAATATAAATTTACCTGTCAAAAATAAGGAAAAAATAAATTGTTGTAATGAAGTCTATACAAGTAAATTCTTAAGTTATTATTTAAAGAAGAAACGGTACACTTTCTACGCTTTCAAATCCATCTGTGCGTTTCTTTCGTTCTAATAAGATAGAAAAATAAGAAAAAAGCATTATAATTTTATTTCATATCAGTATCTGTGATACAAATTTTAGGTATATATATATATATTATAAATACCTATATGGCTATGAAATGAAAGAAAACAGATATTTTTAGTACAGGTTTATAAGTAGCTACCTATAAAGTTTATTCAAAAGGAATATATGGAATATCACACTTTTATGTAGTCTGAATCATTTCTCCAACCAGTCATCGTTAACATCAAATTATTGTATATTATAAGATATAAATATATACTTATTATCTAATACGCTAACATCGATTTTTTAATTAAAAACAAAAATCTGTTTAATAATTGGTTGTATACATTAATTCAATTTTAAGCGTAGAAGTATGTGTAACAATACAAAACCTAAAAAGGAATATATTCTTTTTACAACTAACAGAACTATATCTTGTTAAAAAAGGCACATCCATAAATTTTAAACACTCAATACGTAACTATAAAATATATGGAAATTATTATATATTTTAAATTCCATAAACTAATATATATTATAAAGAATTCTCTAAAAATAAAACTAGAAAATCATTCAATACCTTCCTCTACTTTATGAAAAATACTATGAGAGGTAGATCTTATTTAATTTGGACAAGTTATAATTTTAATACTTCCATAGGTATTATACAATTAATAATCAGAATTTTAATAATAAGTACACTAAGTGTTATATAAGATAATATGCTAAGTTAATAATACATTTTGTATTAATTTTACAAATTCAACATATGAAACTATTTAGACTGTAGATTAATTAGTTGTCTGTAAAGATAATAAACAATCATAACATGAATTTGAAAATTAGAATTTAAGTAGCAAATATAATATAATATTAAGTATTACATTAGAATATTTGGAAAAATCTTTGTACTGGAAATATATTAAATAAATAGAAAAACTATATGGTATATAAAAAAATTCACTACATATATATATATATCGATTAATGAATCGACAGTACTTATTTGTCTAAAACGACAGCATTTTCCACAATTTATCGAAATACTGCTTAATAATTAACTAGGTTTTGATCAATGTCATTTAAGAACTAGGCCTAATATTTATATCCGATGACGTTTCCAATTTCAAGCACGAAGAATTTTTATTTTTCAGATTATTCTCATTTGACACTAATGTTGACAGAAATTGTGTATGTTGGTCACAAAGTGTCAAAAATGATAAAATTTACAGTGGGAGTTTTGCAATTGTTACAAACACTCGTTCATTATCATCTGACCCCTTGGCATAACAATTAATTTTTTCCATGGACTCATCTTTCATTACCTTACGACATAATGTTATTTATCTGGCCTTTATGTATTGCTACTTTTTTTTTATAAATAGTAATAATTAAAAACAAATGTTGCAAAAATGAAAAAAGGTATGCCATATTGTTTTGAGAATGCGGAAAATTGTAAAAAGTAAGGTTGAGGAAATAAACATAAAATATGAAAATAGAAGGATACGAGTATCAAAAAGGCCTAGACTAATTTATGGTGAAATATAAAGAAAGGTGTTAGAGACTTAGTCAGCTTAATATAATATTAAGAAAACAAAGAATAGAGCCTTTGACTTTCGATATTTTTTGCCTGTCTCGCAAGAGTTTTGGCGTGAAGATAGATAAATCAATAACAGCAACTATTTTATGTACTGCTGGGACACGATCCATCTTTCACCTTTAATTCACCTTCCAAGCTAATGGACTACCTTTTATGAAAACCATAAAGGATAGTACGCATTGTGAACAAGGCCATTTTATTCGTATAATTTTTTTCCTGCATATTTATTTATGGACAAGTTCAGATTATAGATTATTTTCATGCGATTTTTTCGTACATAGTTTCTATAAAATTATGTAATATATAAAATACACAAAAAAAATTGATCTGAAAATATTCGCGTGTAACAACTCCACAATATTGTACAATACAAAATGCGTATATAATTATTCATTTATTTTTTTGTTTTCTGTGGCATTGTTTTGCGCATAACCCGTTATTTCCCATTCCCGTTAGAATTCCGAGAAATCCCATCTTAATGATCACGTTATCCGTATACATAAAAAAAAAATTGTGTAATATTTCATTTCTAGGTAGCAGTTGCAATTGCTCTTTTTTTATTTAAAGATAAAATAACATAGAGGCGTCTAATGTTTGATATTATAATGAAAATTATACGAAAATCTCTGTTGTTTAGTATCGCAATACAATTTATAATAAGTTACAATAGCAGTTTACACTATTCACATTTATATATTTATATATCTAGATAGATATATAGTGTTATAACCAGGTAAAACCGCAAAATGGAAACTATTTTCTGTGGCTGTACATTTCTGAATAGATTATTATTGGTGTAAAGTTCCCTTAATAAATTAATTTACATTATCTTGTCGAGTTATAAAATTTTAATTTAACACTCGACCTCTCGTAAAATATTTTGTAGGCATTTCAAATCCTAGATTAGATTACAGCGTTCAGTATTTTTCATTTTATCATTTGTAATCCTATCTTTAGTGAAATTTTTTTATATTGGATAGGTCATCAGGTTATTGGAGAATGATTTTAATTAGATATTTAGGTTAATTTTATATTTATTATGTACCTATATAATAATTATTTAAAGAGACACAAGTCGTATAGAAGTAGTAGCAATAGATAATAATTTTATTTACAATTTAATTTTAATATAATATTTAATATGCGCGCAAAGAGTAACTTTTTTCTGCACGTCAAATAAATTAGAATTGTAGCGCGTAATATATGTATATGAGAGATTTATAAATAAATTAATGTTAAAAAAATTCCGTAATCGTGAGTTCGACTCTAGCTAAATCAAAATTGTAGAAACATTCACATTGTCGTTCAAACCTTTTTTTGACATAATGTTTTTACCAAACTGGTCTTAAATAATCCTAATTGTCTGCACCAAACATTCTTATCACATGCTCCATCCATCTTTCATAACAACCCATTATCATTCCATTGTTGGGCACGGGTCCTCTTCATAAAGGAACGACATTAGTCTACTAGTTGACATAATTTTATTTCGAATTTTTCTTCTTTTGTACAGGTATATTGTACAGTGTCACCTCTTACGACATCCTAAAATTTTGTCAATAACAATTTCCGATGAACTTACCGTTGATGGTTAATTTTTTTAACAGTTTTAATTATTTTAAGAGACAAAATTAGTATACTCCTTCCGCCAAATACTGGATAGATTCGTGTATGTTTAGAGAAATTACTATATTATATTACGTTTTCAATAATACTAAAATTACTCTAACAACACCATTTGAGATTATAATCGTAAGTAGGTAAATAATAATATACTTATTGTTAATAATATGAACTTTTTTTTTATTCTTTATAGCATTCGTGTATTCTGTTACAAGAGAATACATAAAAACTCTAGAAAAGAATACTTACAATCATAAAAGAAAATATTAATTAAACGAATGTATATGTACTACGTTTGTATTATGAAAGTTACTGTTTCTTTACTTTTTACATTTAATGAATGTGTATTTAAATAAATAACAGATCAACGTACAGTCTAAACTGAAAAAATAAAATACTTGAAGGGAATATATTTTCCCTTTTAAAATTATCAATGTAGGCATAAAATTCACTGTTTACATTAATTTAGGGTCGGCTACAGACGATGCCGACATACTCTAAATTTAGGCATAAAATTAAAGGACGAAGTTACCGTGAATACAGCACCACAGTTATTTAGATAATAAAATATCTGATAAACGACTACATGTCATGTCATGCATATATTTGTTGAGGAATTGATACCTATAAATTCCACGTTAGGGGATAGAGATACGACAATTTTTTTCTATATAATTCAGCACATAGGTTTTCCGCATTTCTTTAACATTTATGATTCGGAAATTACATATATAAAGCTGCATGTATTTTGAAAAAAGAAACGCGCGGGAATAACCTCTACAATAAGAAAGCAGAAACGTGAAATATCATAATTTAAATTGAATTCAATGAAGGTCATTAACTCATTTTTTAATTACTACATATAGCCAGTTGATGATTGAATTTACAAAATGAACATTGCCAACAAAAAATAATAAAATGACGACGTATATGTATATATGTATAATTGCATGTATATATGTATTTTTTTGTAATACAAAATATAAGTTACACATTTTTATATAGGTAGGTTATATAGGTACAGTTTTAATTAAACATTCCATATTCTTGTATCTAATATTCTCTGCCTCTCTTTCAGAAGATTGTAGTATTTTCCTTAAACATTGTATTTGATCATTGTGAACAAACACATAAAAAATATTAATAAAATAATTAAGGCTCCATGAAGTAAAATCGTATTAACTGCCATACTAACATAATTATTGTTACAAGATTTATAAACCTCTATACATTTATTACCACTTTATAAATTTCAAAGTCCATGTTTTTACCACGTTGCCTAGAACAGATATTCAAGTACGGATTTTGATATAAGTATGTCCTCGTTTTTACAATAATACACATAGTCAATTCAAAACGGGGCTGTTCTCCTAGGCATGGCTAGCACGACTGATCATGAAAATACCTACATATAAAAGTTAGAATTTATTAATCTTACCTACGATAAACCAGTCACGTTTAGATCCGTCATTCTAAATTATCACTTTGTATCTACACATTCTGAAATTGAACATTTATTTTAAGAGATATCTAAATCTTAACTATAAGTACATTGGCGTTATTTTTATTTTATAGAAATAATTACTGAACTTTAATGACAGAATAAATCCTAATAGATATAAAGACAGTACAAGGAGGCTATAAAGGTAAATTAGAAGAGCATCGAAATAAGTTTGTGATAACGATAAAAAATGTATGATCTCCTCTCTTTAGACTTTACTCACGCAGACAGAAGTAATTTAGGAAAGTATTGTTGACACTATTAATACCTAATTATAAGGAGACAACAATCAATATACTAATTCCAAAAATAACAAAATATTTCATATTTCTTAAACTTTAGAACATTACGAATACAAACGTATAGATGCTTTTAATTTACTCTCCTGCTAACAAAAGAGTGTTTATTAAAGTATTTTAATATATATAATTCTGATTAGCTGATTATAACAATAACGTACTGACATAATTGGATATAAATTCTATTTGGCATTATTTTAAATAGTATTTTAATTGTAAGACTGAGATTAAAGTATAAAATTATCTATACTTATTATTAATTTATTCTAACGTTCATTTTATTACTGTAACACATGATGATTTGCAGAACTTCGCCTAAATAACTTTCGGTAAAGGTTAGCCGTATCAGCTAATGATTATAAATTTTCAAAACGTATAATCTATTTTAAACTTTTGCATTAATTAGGAAGTTATTTTAAATTAGCATTGTCAATAGAAAGTTGCAAAATCACTATATTAATTTAAACGCTAAAATGGGATGCTTTTGTAAATTAGTTTGATACAAGATCAACCTAAAAACATAATGAAGTTATTTTAAAAAGTGGCACAATATTTTTTAGATACTAAATTGCCTTCCAATATTTTCAGGTAGTATACAATACTTTTGTGTTTAATTTAAGAGATGACACATGAATTGCGTTTGCTGTTATGCCTCTCCCTGATTTGCTGGAGATGTGCCAGTTGTGCAGGCGAAGGTACATGGGGTTGAGTAGCTGGCGATGGTGTAGGACTGGATCCTGGTGGACCTTGGGGTCCCGTTGGCAGAGACTGTCGGCGTCGACGTCTCAATGCAGGAGACAGATTGTATTTTACTTTAGCTTGTACCAATAACTCTTTGAAAATCTGGGAAACGTTGATGTTATCTTTCGCTGATGCCTCCACGAATCCATTCTCCCAATCCACCGTCACAACTGATTCAGTTGTGTGGAACTCAACCTGTAAATAAAATTAATATAAAATAGATGCTAAAAGATTCATATAAAAAAGATTGCCCTGTGGTCCCGGTATAGAATAGGCCACCCCTTCCTTTCTTGTGGGTATCGTAAGAATCGACTAGGGAAGGACGAGATATGGGCAGTGTCCCTCTTAAAATATCTCTAAAACCTAACTGCCGAAGGCTTGGCAGGCGGGTTAGCCTGCCAAGCGTGACAACTACTGGCAAAACCTCCCAAGGGAGAGGCTTATGTTCAGCAGTGGACAGTTAAAAGCTGATATGATGATAATGAAATGCTATATATATATATATATATATATATATATATATATATATATATATATATATATATATATATATATATATATATATATATATATATATATATCCAGAAAAACTGCTGGATAATGATGGATTTGAACGACGATCGGTACACAGATGTTTAATTTTTTACATTAATAAATGAGATATTTTTTACAAAGCCGCGAGTGACAGCTAGCTGATGAGCTCCGGAACAGACTTGTGTCTGAAATCGAAACTTCACTCGATAAAGTTTCGATCTGGGGTGAACGCAATCTTGTTCACTTTAACCCTAAGAAGACACAAGTCTGCGCGTTCACCGCAAAAAAGACACCGTTTGTCGTATCACCTCACTTTCAGGGCACTTCCCTTGATAATAAGTCGAGTCTGGGGATTCTTGGCGTCGATATATCGAGCGACGTCCAGTTTTGCGGTCATCTGGAGGAAAAAGCTATAGCTAAATATGAGACGGTATTTCACGCCAGAAAACCGCCTGAAACTGTATAAAGCTCAAGTGAGGCCACACATGAAATACTGTTCTCACCTGTGGGCAGGAGCGCCACAGTACCAACTCCTTCCGTTAGACCGCATTCAAAGTCGGGCAGCTCGAATTGTTGACGATCGGCGTCTTACTGTCCGGCTCGACCCACTGAAACTGCGTAGAGATGTTGCATCTCTGTGCATCTTCTACCGAATTTATCATGGGGAGTGGAAGAATTGTTCGGATTGATACCTGCTGCAGATTTTCACCATCGTACAACCCGCCATAAACTTTTCATCCCAACCATCTGGACGAGTGGCGGTCCTCCACCGTGCGTTTTTCAAGGCACTTTCTTCCTCGCACAACCACTCTTTGGAATCAACTTCCAGCAGCAGTATTTCCGAACCGATACGACAACATAACCTTCAAGAAAAGAGCATATTCCTTTTTGAAAAGCACACCTGCAATGCCGTAGGTGTTGTGGGTGACCATGGGCGGCGGTAGTCACTTACCATCAGGTGAGCCGCATGCTCGTTTGCCCCCTGTGTTGTAAAAAAAAAAAAAAAAAAAAAAAAGCTGAGAAAATATTTAGAATGCTTTCCTGTATTCGGGAATCTTACATATTAAATTGATAACTTTAACTTTTCGATATTTAGATTTGATAGATTCGAAATCTCATTACACTAGCTCTCGTATTCACCTTAAAAGATGGATTTGGTAGTAAATTTTACATCTTTTTCGAATAGGTCCTTAACAATGAATAAACAGTATACTGTTGTTATAAAAAAAAATCGTCATCTATTATATTTAAAAAAGGTATGTTGTGTCTCAAAATAATCATATACAATGTTATTTTTAAACGGCATTCAGGAATTGCCACGTAATTAGCACGTCAATTACAGCCGCTAGCTTTCGTCTGAAAACCGAGCGAGTTCTATAAGCAGGTTAATGAGCTTCTACAAAATTTATTGCGCTAAGTTATTTTATGAGCTAAGTTTCGGCAGATACACATACACTTATATCGTGCGTGAACTTCGAGACATGTGGGAGTTGTTGTACTATATATCGGTAAGACAAATGTAGATATCGCATAATTGAGTTAGAATCTGGTGGTACTTAGAGATTTGGGTGGCTCGCTTGGGTGTCTACTCATTTAGTATTATCGCTATCTACTACTTTGATGTAAAGAAACAATAAATAAACATACATATGAATGTATTTTAGTCTGATTGGCAAGATATTCGGTACAATTTTATAAAAGACGTAACACCGCACCCAGGAAAGACAACGCATGAAAATAATTATAACCTTTTTTCTACCAATACTTATATTTGATAGCTGAATTAGATTCTGGAATAATTTAATTGTTACAGAAATGAAACAGAAAAGACAATAATATTATTCCACAGAACTCCAATTGACAGATTCGTTATTTTTTTTTTGTAAACATAATAGAAACAAATGTATGCAGAAAGTACAAAGGATATTGGCAAGTCAGCGGATGGGACGACTATTGTGTTGGATATTCCGGACCAACAATTCCTGCCATCCGAGACCTGTACTATCCGAACATTGTTGTCGTACATTCAATGTTACTAGTTTAGAAATAAAGTTCTAACTTTTATTAAGTTTGTAACTAACATACTAATGTTACGTAGGTTCTGTTCAGTGGGTATTCCATATAGTTGTAAGGGTGTGAGTACAATATGTAAATGATTACTTTAGTTTGTTTAATATTATCATAATAAAATATATGTTCATTTAGATTTGTGAGTCTCTCTATATTTTATAATAAGTACTAGTCTCTCATTTGTCTCTAATAAAATAACAGAAGAAAACGTCTTTCTATTTACTATTATTCAATTATTATTATTAATATTCAATTAAGATTAATAAATGTTATTGTTGCTTTTCTAAATAATTTCTTCTACTGGCCGAACAAACTTGGGTGGATTGTCCAATTAGACAATCCACCAACCCTTTTAACAGTCTCATTCAGTGAAGTGCGCTCGACATTTATGGCGGCCGACGCGACGTCTGTTAACATTTTGTGCCACATTTTCTCTGTTCTATGACAGCTCGGAAATTCAATCTCACCCGCAGAGCTACTAAAAATTTAAATTTAAAATGAGTTATTATAATTTTATAATGTATAAAATAATATAAAAAATAAATATACCATAGCATTTTGATTCTCGAAATTTCTGCCGTAATAATATATAATGTGGATAGATTCTTAGTTTTATGTACTGTTAACGATTTCGATTTCGCCTTGTACCTATAATGCACCCTTAGAGTGCACCATATTATTGTGATGGTAGGAATACAATAGTCACCATTTCTTTATCCATCCAACTGAGAGAATAGAGAAGATTTAGTAACTTATTAATGCGGTAATAGTAGATTGATATCTTATTTATATGATACACTTGCTTGCATATATACCTAAAAATATAATGAGAATGATATGTCCATAACATTATTTATGTTACACTATAAAAAGTTCTAAATCTACGTCCCCTAGGTTTGAAAAACTCTATATATAAAAATGCCATCGTGATTATTCACGACATATATACTTGAGAATACCTGCGAACATATTGTAACTAAAATACCAAGCGATCAGCCAGTTGCTGTACCGGTGATTTCCTTCCCGCAGGCTTTATATTGAGAAACCCTTCTATTTCCTGGAATAAATTGTATTTGCCCAGTTTGATTCCTCAAAATCCGTCGAGTAATTTCGATGTAAGCTGTGCGCAGATAAAATCTGTTATCTAATACATTATACATTAAAATATATATATTATACATTAAAATATATATTATACATTAAAATAACAATTTTTTAGGTATACCCGGTAAGTAGGTATACCTCCATGAAAATGTTCTCAAGAAACCCCGATCAGGCGTTTCTTTCTCCGAGTTACTTTTTTAAAAGTTTTATGAATACTTTACTTAGGATTCGCTTAAAGTCATTGTTTTATAATTTTAACATTTTTGTTCATTTAACGGTTTCAGTGAGAGATGCCATCGCATTGCGAAGAAAAAAAAGTGCGGGGATGACAGTATATTTGAATTGTGTATGACTGAGACAGTGAATGTATATGTAAAATTATTCTTAAATCGTAATATTTTTATCGTGAAAACAGGAAAACGACTTGAATCAAAGCGAGATATTATAAATGAATATAAGAAAGATGAGAACCAATATTGGTTAACTATCTCACTCTTATCAACCATATGTTGAAAATGAATGTGAAGTCACCTACAATAATGTGATTTTTTCTAAAGTCAACAATCTACCCATCTATATCTATTGTAATATATTATAAAGAGGAAAGATTTGATTGTTTGTTTATTTGTAATCGTTAAACTCATTTAATTTATCAGCGAGTAATATAGGTTATATATTTTTGAAAATTCTATCTAGGTGTACGAAGCCGGGCTGGATCGCTAGTATAGAAGATAGTAAGAAAACAAAGCATCGAATATAAATATGTATTTAGCGTACACAATACCGTAACGTGTTTAATCAGCGTGATGCATGTGACAACGGAGCTAGAATACAATGTGCTAATACTCTTTTTCATCTCAAAGATATTGTAAGAGGCAATTAGAGGAACAATATACAGTACACTAGTGTAAGGGGAGGAAAAATCAAAATAAAATCTTATAAGAAGTTGCTAAGTCAGCGTGATAAATAGGCTAATATCATTTTCTTATATGAAAGGAGAGACTCGTGCACCGAAGTGGGTCATTGATGGTTTATTATGGTATGCCATTGTAATATGTTGTTACGATGCATCGTCAACTTCTAAAAGGTTTGTTCTACTTGGCAAATGAATGCATTTCTATTTTCACAACATGGTATTTATTTACCACGCAAGTAAGAACTTTATAAAATGCTTCACTGATTAATCAATATACATTAGAAACTATGAAATAAACAGAACGACGAACATTTACTAAGAAAAGCTTTTCAGAAATTCCTTGGAAATGGATAAAACAAGTTCTGGCCAGACTTAGTAGGTAGTTTCCTTCAATTATCTTTAATAACAATAATAAGTGCCAAACAATCACATTAATGGTCTGCGCCTCAAAGTAATTACATTGTGTTATGAGTAACCAGATGATTAACAATGAGGGTGTAAAACATTTAGACCGAACTAATTTAGTATGTTTACTAAATTGGTCCAAAAATAAAAAATAAATTAAATTCGAACTAAAACGTCACTGACTTAATTTAATATTTATCTAAATTAAAAGTGTTATGTTGAAGGAATTGGGAAGAGTTTTCACCAGAATTCACCAGAGGGAGATTTTGTACAAAAGTCGTTTGTTTGGGTACCTCTGTCCCATTCGTGTTTCAACCGTGAAGCAGTTGTGTTTGCATGGCTGTGTTTCGGTTTGAAGGGTGGGATATGGCGTGAATTTACTGGGTACAGAGGAATAACACCTGAGTCCTCAGGAATGGTATCATGGGCGAAACAGTATACTCTGTTATGTTCATGGTACTGCTCATGTCTATAGGCGACGGTTACCACTACCATCAGGTGGGCCGTCAGCTTGTTTGCCATTCTAAGTTGTATAAAAAATAAGAGTATTTTAATGTAATTTAAAAAGAAAAATGTATGTGATACAAAATTATTCAAATTGACATTCCCCATATTATCCACTTTGGTTCCCTTTGTTGTATAAAAAAAAAACAATTATTTCATATTTTAGGAAAAATTGACTTTATAATCAAATATAGCAAAATCTTGTCACTCACACTCACTCAACTGTCAAATGTACACTGAAAGATGAGCAATATACCTATATTATTAAATTGAATTCAAACTCTAAAAAAGAAATGAAAGCATAAAGTAAATAGATAAAATATATATATAATTTAAAGTATATTTGGAAAAGTCTTATTAAGATATGTCTGGATAAGATCAAAAGCCTTAAAAGAATAAAAAGTAAATCAACCATAACATTAAATCATCTCAACTTAATATAGCACACTTTTTAACCCGGGAAGTTAAGTCCTTGAGAGATATTAATAGAACAATATCATTGAAACTGATAGCATAGGTACGTGTAGTGAAGCTGCGACCTTCAGCCCGTAACAATAATCACATTTATATCGTATGCAAATAGTATTTTATGACTAAATTAAATTGAAGTTTTAGAGGTCGTGGATAAAAATGAACAAATGTACAATATCTTTTTTTATGATACTGTCATCGAAAACAAATTGACGGCCTACCTGTGTGGAGAGTGGTAACCGTCAACTCTCGTACTGTATACGAGTAGACCCGAACAGGACCGTGAATAGACCATTGCCATCCTATAAGATTACGTAGGTGGTTCCCTTTCTAGCTTATGTGTTAATGTTCTTTCTAAGGCATATTTTGGTAAATCACTACAAAAAGTTAAAATTGTTTTCCCTTTATTCACATGAATGATGCTAACACCAAATATATTATAACTTTTAATACGCTTTTCTCTTTTCAGCAACTGATTTGCATGCTATAATAATACGAGTATGTCACAAGTCAATGTCTCATTATTTTTTAGAGATCTGAAATGAAAGAGTGCCTCACTTACAGTGCAATTTTAATTGGACTATCTTTATTTTTCGTATAAATGAAAAAAAAATGTAATTATGAGACTTTAGATATTTTTCAATTGATCTATATTTGCTAAAGTAACTAAACACTAAACTCTTGAGATAATGTGAAATCAAAATGATTATAAACTTTCTATTTATTTGTTACGCTAATATCGGATAATATTGTCAATATATAATTATATATCTAATTATATATTAAATAATATATCATTATATCAGTCATATATAACTCGTGTAAGATGTAGTAAAAACATATGCATCAACTGTGAAAATACTGATACAAAGGATGTCCTGTATCGAAATATATTATAAAGTATCTATACCTCGCGGCCTCGTTATATGTTAAAGTTAAAATCCGTTTTTAATTATAACGCGTTTTCTGTAGTTGAAACTAGTTTTTACTAAATGCCTTTGTTGTAACTAGAATATGATTCTGCTCAATAACAAACATCAGTTAAAAATACTAGTACTATTTTACCAGACAGAACGCGTTTTATGGAATTAATTTAGTATATTATTATATATTATAGTATATTTGAAAAGACTATTTATTTTATTTTTAGCCATTCCCCAAAGAAGCTTCTATGATACTAGTTTTAACTATGAAATTATAACATTGTTATTTAATAAAAAACTATTTTCAACAAGAGAAACGTGTTATAAATAAAAACAGATTTTGACTGTAACATATATATATATATATATATATATATATATATATATATATATATATATATATATATATATATATATATATATATATATATATATATATCTATATAATAAAACTCGTACAACAACTAACAAGTAAAGACTATAATCGTTATGCATTTTAAAGACGAACTATGTAATAGTAAACATTCGACCCTGTTTGTCTATTTAAATGAAAAGTTTAATTTAAATATTACAGTTAAAAAGGGTACAAAAATTATTTGTATTATAGAATATGAAACACAAAAAATGTTATATATATTTTTAGTAGATGTTTGTTTAATATAAATTTCCGATTGTACCGCCAGCAAAGTTCTCTGCTTTGTCTGTGGTTGACTGGCTGAGAACGACTTTTATTATTACATCTGCCATGTTTACTTTAGTTATATACACACAAAAGCTGAATAAATAAATATGCAATTTCGTTCACACAAATAATAGAAATAATCACAAAATAGTTCAAAATAGCCATTAAAGAAAACAAAATCCCAAACGTTTACGAGATCACGTTTCAAATTGGAAAGAGCTGATTATTACGTTGTTACGTACGTATTCACAGAGTAACATAAAAGTGAATTCTAAATCTATTGACAAATTATATCACGTATGTTTTTCGAGTTCCATAATATGAAGTTATTGATGGTTGACTAACATTTATTTTATGGGAATAACGATATTGCGAGCGAGTTCAGGTTTGTCCCAGGGGGCATGGGACGACACGGTCGTTTGTGAGTTGACGTTGCCGTTTGCCCCCAAGTTGGCACTTTGTTGTTCAAGTTTGCTACTAGAGCGTGTTATTATGTATTGTAGATCACTAAGTTTATTGAAGATACTTGAGGCGAAAGGCCAGAAATAGTTTAACTAATTATAAAGTATTAATTAAACTGAAACTTTACAAGTGCATCTTATGAATACTAAAATACGAGTTGATCATAAATATACTAACTTGTCTTTCTCCTGTCTCTGCTAAGTCCACCTTGTTCCCAACAACGACAATAGGTACAGCACTGCTTCCTTTAGTCTCATGTATTTGATCCCTCAAAACTCTTACTTCTGTGAAGCTGTCTGCGTCTGTGATATCGTAAACTAAGATAAATGCGTCTGCCGATTGCATGGAAAGTGCTCTCATCGCAGGGAACTCATACGCTCCAGATGTATCCAGAATATCCAAGGTTAATCTCACACCAGACACATTGAAATCCCCATGATGCATTTCCTCTATAGTTCTTTTATATTTAGTGGAAAATGTACCATAGAGAAACTGAGTTATAAGAGATGACTTTCCAACTTTTGCTGCGCCTAATACCACAATTTTATGTCGCACCGCATTGTTAGTTAGATTTCCACTGCTTGATACTGTGTCTTCTGTCTTCTCAGTCCTGTAATTAAAGAATATAATTATTATGAGCTTCTTTTACAGTATACAGACCAGAGGGAGATTCTAAACAAAAACAGTCTATAACTATAACTCTGTTTAACTTATACTTCTGTTGCGTGGTTGTTGTATTTGTGTTTCGGTTTAAAGGATGAGAGATGGCAGTTAAATTGCATGTGAAAAGTTGTAACACTATTATTCAGAAATGTCAACATATGCAGTACCATGGGAATCATACTGTATTATGTAATATCTGTGGTATTCTTAAAAACTATAGGTGAATGTTACCACTTATTATGTAGACGGTTTGCCGTTCCAAAATGCAAAAAAAAATTAAGCAATTTTCAAATCATGAAATTCATTAATTTCTGTCTAAATTGTTTTGAGTTAGATGAAAAAGAACTTAATTCAATCTGGATAAAACTAGACATGATAAACATTAAAGTAAACCCTGTCTATGTAGAACAATAATTATATATACAGAGAACTTTTCAGCACAACTCGATATCGAGAAGTGTCCAAAGATTGGATTGCTGGATCTGCCCCACGGGAATAGACAGGGAAGCAATTTAATATAAATTTTCCAAAAAATATATTCGAATTACTAACGTTCTACTCTTTGATGTCGGTTGAAAATTTGTAAATGTCAAAGTTAAAGGCGCAGACATCAAGTTTATTGCTATACTGGCAGAATAAATCGCCTCATGTGTTTAACGAGGATGTGTGGGACGTATTTCGTGAAGTGAACGATAATCATGCAAATCAGGTTTGGCGTTAATACGAATATAACAGTACGGTGCGCTAAAAACCTTGAGAAAATAGGCAACTTTGCTAATGTATGCATTTACTTGTAGATAAACGGCAAGGGCACCCGGGCCTTATCAGCGGAACCCGGGGGCGGGTCACAATTACCTAATTGGCAAATAGATCATATGACATTATATGTTTGCTCTGTGTTGCTATTTGCCGGCAACTTTTCTATCTTCGAGTATCATAATAATATTCGATTATATTTTTCTCTAATAAAGATAACAATAGTATTAAATTTAATTACATGTCGTGAACTCAAATATAATAAGCGAACAGCAGTTATTCATGCATTTACTAAGATCTACAAAATAACTACCTATTGTTTACAACGATACTTATGATGTAAATTTATTAATTGCTAGCAATACGGTTCGGATTTGCTCCGATAGAAAGAGTTTTCAAAAATAATGTATAGTCTATGTTATTTGTACATTTTATAAATGAAAGAATTTTTAAAATTTGTTGAGTAGTTTTTGAGTTAATCCATTCATTACAAACAAACAATCAAATCTTCACTCTTTAATAGATTAGTTAATTAGAATAGGGTCCTAATGAAAGGAAAAATAATCTTGATGCTATAGTAAATGTCAATACAATAGTAACTCAAACGCATGAAGTGGATAATTTATTTAAAACTAGCTGTATCCTGAAACTTCACCCTCGTGAATCAGTATATGCAGTATCCTATGTACTAAGTTATCATATAACCTAACTGTGTACTAAATTTGATTCAAATCTGTTCAATAGTTTTTGCGTCAAAGAGTAACAAACATCGTTATAAACTTTTGCATTTATTGTATCAATAAGATTTGTAATTATTTTAAAGTATTGATATAATTAAAGATTGTTTAGCAATAAAGCCTTTTGTACTATACTATGCTTATTGAAAATCCTTCAACAAGTACTGTTATTTTTTTTTATGCAACTTAGAATGGCAAGCATGCTGACGGCCCACCTGATGAAAAGTAGTAATCGTCGTTTATAGACATAAGCAATACCATGGACACAACATAGTATACTGTTTCACCCATGATACTTCCATGCGTTGCTATTCCTGTGGACTCAGGTGTTGTTCCTCTGTACCCTGTAAATTCACTACCATATCCCACCCTTCTCAAATCGAAACACAGCCATGCAAACACAATTGCTTCTCTGTAGAAACACGAATGGGACAGAGGTGGCCAAACAAATGACTTATTCTTAAGCTGCAATAAAGTGTCATATAAATAAAAAAAAAAAAATTATGTCTGATTTCATGCTCACTGGAGCCAATAAACGCTTGGAAAATTATATGCATTTTTTTTATGAAAGCTTTTGGCTCACCTGATGGAAAGTAATAAAAGTCATCTATAAACATAAACAATGCTATAGACATAACAGAGTATACTGTGTCGTCCATATGTCTTCCTCTTCCATACAAAATATAGCAATACAAGCAATGATATACATCTTTAAAAGTGTAGTGCAATAGTCACTGTCCGCATGCTCGTTTGCCCCCTGTGTTGTAAAAAAAAAAAAAAAAAAACATTTACATTTACATTTACATTTTTGCTTGGTAAAGCGATTATTAGGCGCATAATCCATGTTTTTGTATTTTATATAAAATCTATACATTTATTATTAAAAACAGTACACTTATGTGAAACATATTCAAGACTATGTATCGCATAAGTGTATTTCTTTTTCGATAAGTCAATTATTACTATAGGGTTGAGTTAGAAGGAAGTCACGCAGAGTTCTTGTTAGTGTTAATTAACTAGTATGTACTAGTCATTGTGTGAAGTAAATCATATATTTGTTGCTATGCTGTAATATGTTAAGGTACTGTAACCGGGCATCCAATAGTATACAGGTACAAAATTATTATTTTTGGAAAATATAAATTGATAGCACTTATAATATCTGTATCACTATATCCGTGTAATCTACGGCATAGAATATATTACCCCTTCATTTCCCGTAGGTAAGAGGCTACTAAGAGAACTTAATAATAGAGGTATGGGCAACAGCACCCCTCTTAAAACATCACCAAAACTTAACTGCGATTGCAACCCGCCTGCTAAGCCACACTTGCACTACTACTGGCATAACCCCTCTTATGAGGAGGTTTATGTTCAGAAGCGAACAGTTAACGGCCGATATGATATGACGATAATATCTATACAATTTCATATGTATGAACGTTCTACAATAAATTTCCTGAATAACGATGCATTCCTGAGATACAAGCATCTTTGTGTATATACGTATGTTCCTTAAGAGAATTGAAGACTATGCAGGATCGTATATTCGATTTTATGGACCAATGACGATTTTTCTCAAAGCTATTTCTTATATAGGATACAAAGCTCATTTGTGGATACAAAGCTTGAAATTCAATACTTGTACAATTTTTTTTATTTAATTATCATGCAAATACATTCAAAAACTATGGATTTGTAGTATTACTTAAACCGCTTGGGCTTGTGTGTGGTAGTTTACATTTCGTTCTCAAATTGTACGTACTGACATTAATATTCTGCTGTTTTAGCAAGGTTGGACAAATAATATGTTTTTATATTTTTAACAGTTATTGTTTCGCAAGTTGGTAGGTAAAGAATTAATATATTATTACTAATTTTATACTATGTATTTGCCTCACACGAATATCATGTGTTATAAAACATAATAATAATATATTTTTATTTTTGTCTCCTCACAACTTAGATTTACACATGACTATCATGTGTTATAAGAAATAAAAATAATATATTTTTATTTTTATCTCCCCAGAAACAACTTATATTTACACATGTAGTATATAGGATAAAAATAATATTAAAATAATACGGAACTCTGATGTTAAGTTAAATAGCTGGTGTCTGAAATAGGTTAAAACCTGTAGTACTGATCGCCAGGCCTCAAACCGATATGTGTTTAAATAACTATCAAACAAGATACATTGTTATGAAATTACACAATCTCAAAAAGGATAATTAATTGTAGGAGATAAAGAAAATAAAAAAATATATTGGTATATAAATTGTAAAAGCAGGGTGAAATGGTTATGCGTATCTATACGTGCCTGCGGGCGTGTGTGCATTTGCGTATATGTTTATATATGTGTGTGCGTATGTCATGAAATTAGAGTAATCTGAAACATTTGTGAGCAAACCAGACACAAGCTAAACAAACTCGTATTTTCTAAACTTCAGATATGTGGTTCGTTATATATTTTGGTAATATAAGCAACGCTAATGATAAGAGCTCGCCGATATCTGTGGAGGTCGACTATCGTTGTCCACTTGTCATGTAACCGGTTACACTTTATCGGTCAGCAAATAAAATCATCACATCAATCAATACTGTGGAAACACAAAAATCTGACTCATACCGGTCACTTTTATTTTCAGCCGTAAAACCAAGTCAATACAGATTAAATAAAATATTTGATCATTTCATAACAGAAATCGAATACCTAAGTGCTGTTGTTTATAGACTTTTTTAGGTTGTAGGTTGAGGGTAATACGAACATTGAATTGTTTATACGTTTCAAAACAAGTACAAGTAAGTTTATTGGTAAATTTGATTCTATTTCGATTCACTAAAAATATAGTTAGACCATGCGAGTGAATTTTTATTCTTTCATTACGCGTCTTATATTTGTTGAATGCGTAACATGCGTAATAGAATGGGATATTTCTGAGTCCAATTTTACCTTATATTTTTATTATTATTCTATTTTAATTGTTGTTATGTGTGCTCTTTGTTCGTTTACTCTAACTACTTCTTCAAGCGAAAAAGCGACTTTACCCTATTAGAGTACTTTAATATTTATTCATATTAATAGTTTCTGCGAAATTGTTTGGGTGGATAACTGTCATGGCCTTAATTATGTTCGCTTTGATGTAATTATAGATATATTGTTTTATTTTAGTTTGAAGGGCATTTATTAGCTATTGTAGTCTGTAATCTTTCCTTCTTGGATATGTAATACCTAAGAACTATGTTTTGGTACTGCATAAATAAACAGAAAAAATAAACAATTGTAATATTACATAAAGTCCACAAACACATGAAATATTGTTACTGTAAAAGTAAATAGTAAATAAATAAGAATATTTTAAAATAGCTGCCACGTCAGATTATTTATCCGCTTACTTCTTCTAACACGAGAGTTTTGATGAAGTTACAGAAAGTTCTATATATATTTTA